GTGTGTGTGTGTGTGTGTGTGTGTGTGTGTATGGGGGGGACGGGGCATGGCACAGCATGCATGTGGAAGTCAGAGTCAGTTCTCACTTCCCACCATGTGGGTCCTAGGGAATGAACTGAGGTCATCAGGCTTGGCAGCAAGTGCCTTTACTCACTGAGCTATCCCACTCGCCCCCTGATGTCCTTTTAGACAATTATAAGACTGTGAACTTCTATGAGAGAGGCTGGATGCTTATTTTTAGATCCATAAATTGCAACTTCAAAGGCCACCGGCCAGCATCTTGAATCCAGTTTAGACTGCTGTCAGATGTTTCTCCACTCTCTGATAACATATCAACATGCCAGCTGCTCATTCAAATGCACATTCCACTGCTTCTTTCTACAAAAACACAGTGTTCTGCTTAAAATTCCAGACCATCTTATCAATTCGGTAAATACATTCCTGTGTGCTTTTAAGCAAAGAAATTTACATATAAAATAGGGACATAATGATGTTTCATTTGTTCTTCATAATTGTACTTTAACATCCCTGGATTGTACACACACCCTTTAAAGTGGCTTAGCTATAAACACAGGCTCTTTGAAAATGATACTACAAGGAACATCAACCTACATTATCCTCCACAGAAGTCTACGCATCAAATGACTTTCCTAGTGACTTCAGGAAGACTGCTTCCAGGTATTTTTTAGAAGCAGAGTGGTAAGCGTTCACACGAACTGTTTTATCTTTTTGCAAGACGAAAACGCCAGGCATGTTTCAGGTACAGAGGACGAAGTGGCAAAGCTGAAAACAGTCTCCCGGTCCCCTTACCTTTGCAAATGGAAGGCAGTCTTTGTCTGCTTCCTTGTCTTTCACTTCAAAGTCATAAAGTGCTTTGCACTGAGGAGGGGGCTGAGGTAATGGTTTGATGATCTGCACAAAGTTGGTAGGGAAAAAGCCATGGACCCCGTTGACTTCCCCGTGGTACCAATTTTCATCTACTTGTCTTCGCAAAATAATGATGTCCCCTTTGCTGAACTTAAGGTCTCCAGGCTCTTTTCCTTCGTAGTTATATAATGCTTTGGCACATGGTAACTGAGGTATACCCTTAAAGAAAGAGAGGAATTTCAATGAAATAACAGCCTAGTAATATCTCTGAAAATATAATTGTATTCTCAATGTCTTTAAAACAGGATCAAATCCACACTTGGCCCTTTGACGAAAATCTTATGTAGAAAACCATTCACGTGCACTTCTAATAAAAAGCAAACACAAAGTGTGTGGTATCCCTACTTATCCATAATGGAGCCATCTATGCCTAAATTTAATTTAGTGGAGCTTTGGACTTGTTTCCCTGGGATTACTGCCTGACTCTGGTTTCCTGGTATGAAATTCAAAAATTCATAAAAACAAACTTAGTTTCTATAATAATAATGTATTTATCATGATAAAGGATAAAGACTGAGAAGAAAAATTTAAACCAAAGAAAAATTTATCAAGTTCATAACCATTCTTAAACAGAGATTAAATTTGGGGCAAATCTTTTCCTGGTGTGACTTTTAATGTGGGCACCAGGTCTTAATCTTTTATGAACTCAGTATTTATTAAAACTCTTTTTTATGCCCAAGTATGGAATGCGGCAGTAAGACAGTCCCAGTCCCCTACTGTCTTAGTTAGCATGAACTGTCAACTGAAACGGCCTAGAATCACCTGAGAAAAGTCTTAATTTTGTAACTGTCTGTATGAGGTTAGTCTGCGGGTATGTTTGTATGGGATTGTCTTGACTGTTCATTGATCTAAGGGGCCCAGGCCACAGTCGGGACATTCCATGGACAGGAAATTCTCAGCTGTATATGAAAGCAGGCTAAGCGTGAGCTTGTGAGCAAGCCAGACGTCAGCTTTCCTTCAGGCTTCAAGCTCCTACTTGGTTTCCTACCCTGACTTCCCTCAGTGATGCACTGTGACCCAAAGTGCAAATTAAATAAATCCTTTCCTCCTCCACATTGCCTTTGATCAAAGTGTTTTATCACAGCAGCAAGAAAGAAGCTAGAACACTGCCTTTCAGGCCTCATAATGTACGTGTTCAGTTATGGTCTTTTGCGACTTAAGATATTCAACTTGCTCTTCCCTGGTTAAGGACCACTGTAGGGCAAAAAGAGAAGAGATGAGGTTTTAGTTGTTACCACACTGCAATATGGTTTTAAATGGCAGGTTTAAAACTGTGTGTACCCCAAAGGCCATTTAATTATGCAATGAACTCAGTCTGGTACTTCCCAATGGCATAAGTGGCACATTTCCATTTGTGAACACTGGTAAGATCTTAAGATCTCTGGCCCCTCTGGAACACTGCTGGCTCAGGTACATGACTATATAGAGAGAATTAGATTACAGGCTCTGTCCTCACGTCCTCATTCATGAATTCATTCATCCAGGACACACTCATCAAGCTTTCACTTTTTACCAGGCAATGTGCTCGTGCTGAAGATTTTAATTCTTCTCCTCGATGGATAAGACAAGAGAAGTAATAATAATCCAGTGGGGTAAATTCAACGACAGTCCTCCACTGTTTATGGAAACAGAGAACTTAAGGTTTAGTAGATGGGACAGAAATGACTGTAATATTCCCCCAAGTTTTCTTGGATATCTAGGAGTTACTGAAGCAAAGTTGGGAGGAGGGATGAAAAGGAACATGAGACTATTCTAGGCACAAGGAGCAGGACCCACAAGGAGCACCAGCAGGGACAAAGGCGTGACAAGTAGCACACTGTGCAGAGGGACTAGAGTTTGTGAGGAATGTAATGCTTCTGTGGAGGAATTAAGCCACATAAAGTTCAGGAGAGGACAGTGGTGGCCAATTTACGGTGCTCATGAATGACACTGTTAACAACCTGGGATTTCTGTGTCCTTCAAGCAGTGACAAGTCTTAGAAGGATGTGATGCACAGATGGTCATGATCACATCATGGGCCAGGCAGATGAGTCTGGCAACATGTGGGAAAATGGACATGAAATGGTCAGATGGGCAGTCAGCTACATGCAAAGCACAGGCTTACAATCACTGATTTTTTTTTAAGTATAATCTTTCCAATAAAGTTAAGCAATAAGCACATTGCTCATACCACTTTTCCATACGAGAGAGAGAGAAAGAGAGAGAGAGAGAGAGAGAGAGAGAGAGAGAGAGAGATCGATCAAAGTCACACCCTTGATGGGAACTGTACTTCATAATATAGTTTTCAACAATTAGCTTGTTTTATAATCAGATTTAGATTCTGGTCTACTCATAAGCCAAATATTTGCTAAATATTTCTATTTGGATTAAGGCGAACAGTAATTCTTTCTCCCAAGATGCCATTAGAAGTCAATCTTGCCTTGACTTGGTCCATGTGTATCAATTAAAGTGGCTCTAAGAACTAGTATCCTTGGAAGACAGGAGTTGAAACTTCTAGAATGGCTGATGCCTTCTTGTGCCCTTTCGAACCCTGCCTTAAGACCTAGCTTCTAATGGCAAAACTGTTATTAGGCCTTGATATGATCTTGTAAATAATTCCTCTGTGCCCACTAGTTCTTCCCCAAAGCACCTGCTATCCAGGAACTCTGACTCCTCCCTCACAGTGCTGTGAACCCTGGTCATGTTCCATTCAGCACCCAATTTTGTGGAGGGCAAAATTCTAATTTTGTCTATCCTTATATAAAATTCACTGCATTCTTTACTATTTTATGTATTTCATGAAGTCTGTTTATCACAGCTTAGCAATATTTCCCCAGGCAGGTTTGAGGAAATAAAAGTAGATAAACAGCAATCAGTGTTGCTGAGGAGGGGGGACAGAAATGACTGACAGAGTGTCAAGAGAAGCAAATTAACTCTTGTAGCTAATGAGACTGTGATAGGAAAATATAGGACAGAAGCCACTCCACAGCGGGAATCCCGCCTGGTTCAGTCCCTTACTGGCTGTGTGCTCATGGGCAGGTTGGTTTCTCTGAGTCTTGATTCCTTCATCCGAGTTGTCAGAGAATTTGATGAGAGCATGCACTGAAAAGCCAGAACTAAATGTTACATGCATGAACCACCACCACCACCACCTCACCACCACCACCACTGCCATCATCATCATCATCATCGCTCTGTGTGAAAAGCCTGGCTGCTAGTGAAATGAGGTGCTCGACAGTGTATTTGTTTCTATGCAGCTAGACACGTTTCCTTTCGGGTGGATTCACATAGCAATTACATTTTTAATATATATTCACTGAATAACAATGCAGAGAATGTTCCTTCCAGGAAGTGTTCAAGAATTTTGAAATGTGCATTTCTGAAGCACACATTTGTTTTCTGAGTTGAATCCATTCATCTTCTGGTTGCACGGAAGAAATTACAAATTCACTGACATGTGCCGCTTAATAGGGGATGGCATTTTAGATGTGGCTGTAGTTCATCTTGACAGGGCTAATGTAAGGCATTGGAAGCCTGCATGAATTAATTGGAAATCCTATTACAAACTCAGTGACAAATAACTCTATTCACCATTATGGCCTGCTCGCTCCATTTTTCCCCCACCTCAATTAGCTCTATTTGGCCAGCCCTGCCCCAGATTCATGGCAGACAAATCTACAAACCAAGATTCAAACACAGCACTCTTAGAAGCCATTCTGAACGGCTCCTTGAAGAGACCTGTAAAATTCCAAATGACCCACAGTACAGTTCTTTTGTAATGGCTGATGTGGGAACAGAGGGAATTTATTTCTTTACAGATCGCTTTCACACACCAGTGGCCTAATGGACTTATTAACTTTTCCACAAAGTGAATCTATTAAGTGCTCCTAAAATCATCAAGTATCTTAATAGAACAAACGACAAAGGGAAAACATATTATGATGGTAGCAATATGTATTATGGCTAGCCCAGGGTTATATCCCTGCGATGCAACCAAAACTTCATTAATTCACACTGACTTGCTAAATGTTGACTGCCACGGTTATTTCAGTGATCAATAACCACAAAGAAAGAGTCATAAAGCTTATGGCAGCTGAACCCAGAAGCAGACATTTGTGCATCTGGCAGTGTTTTTCTATGGTGTTCTTTTTCAATTAAAGTCTAAAATACTAAAAGTCAGTTTATGTCAAGTTTCTCAAAAGAAGGTTTCCACATTAAATAAAATGAATTCTCCTCTGATTTCAAATCAAGCAAAGTTCAGTGATCTTTAGAAAACTTATTCCCACACAGACTGCAGATGATTAAGGATAAATGGTTAAACGACTTGGAAGAGCAATAAAAGAACACATTTTCCTTCTGCAGCATCTGAAGGAAAAAGGCAAAACAATTGGTTTGAAAAACCCTAGGACTATATTGTGGGTAAAATATGTCTGGAGCCCAGGGAGGCCAGGCCTTCCCATTCATCTCCTTAGAAAGGTCTGAGAGTCATGTCATCGCCCCGGCCCTCTGCCCTTCGTGCCTTCATCTGCTTTCCAAGCTGCTGCTTGTCTTCTGGATCCTCTCATCAGGCCAAAGCCCCCGAGGATCTGCAGGGCTTACATTTCACTTGGAGACTTTCACTTGGCTACACATGAAAGGGAGGCTTACAGAGGGAGAAAGGCAGAGAGAAGCCAACTCTGCAGTCTAACCTGGGGTGTGAGGCTGTCATTCAGTTTTACCAAAAAGCTTGGCAACTGACAGGCAAAGGATTCGAATAATTCTGTATCTGAGGCAATTTCAATAAACACTGAATTATTTTGCTCATTAAAACAAAAGAAAAGAAGACAGGACTGTGGACCAGCTTTACATTTCAAGTCATTTTGTTTCTAAATTACACATTTAAGTTGTCATAGAGGACAGGAACATCCTCATGTGATCTGCACACAAATATTTGTGATTAAAAGTTTTCCACTTCCATTTCTGTACCATCAAGTATACTCCAATATATCTAGCTGAGAGTCTAACAGGTAAATAAAACATTCACTGCCAATTTATTTTATGAGCTCAAAATGCCAATGCCCAGATATACATGCAAAGCGGCATCTCTAAATTCAGACTTCTTCATGCATTTCTTACTGCTCCATAAAATAAAAGAGATTCAACGACATACTAAAAAGAAACTCTAGAAAACACTCTTACAG